TCAGTCAGCTAATGGCGAAGGGGATTCACCTCGAAGCAGACAGCACCACCCAAGAATTCAAGCTGTATCACGGGAGAGGAGGACTCTACATCGGCAAGGCGGTCCTCAAGAACAACGTCTTTGTTCTTGACTTCGTTCCTGACCTTGGCACCGCCGACAGCGACGCCATCGTTAACTTCATCGACTGGACACACCCTCCAGACCTTGATCCAGACTTCAGTCCAGAAGGCTTCTGGTATTTACACACCATCCCTGAAGCAGAAAGAACAAGGGCGTTAGCAACAATTCAGACAACATCAGCAGCAGCAGAGACAACATCGGCAGCAGCAGAGACAACGTCGGCAGCAGCAGAGACAACATCGGCAGCAGCAGAGACAACATCGGCAGTAGCAGAACCATCAACGGCAACAGCAGGAACGTCAACACCAATTGCTGGTCCTTCAACGACACCGCTCCTCATCGACGACACACCACCGACACCCGCGCAACAACTACACCCAGCACCACGAGAAGTTCATCGTAGCGCCAACTTCACCGCCAACTTCTACTCCAACTCCGATATGTACCGACGATCACCCGGACATCGCGCCGACGAAAGCACCTGGCAAGCAAGGATGGGACACCCAAGCAACACAGTATTAAACAATACGATAAGAGCAGGAGTACTCGACAAGGACTCACTTCTACTGACCGACGGACGAGAACTTCAACGAGTACGCGGAACGTGCCTCACCTGCCCTGAGGGTGACTTACCACATCGACCGTTTGCGTCTCATCACAACTCGAGCGCACCCGCGTACGCACCACTCGAGAAGGTGTATAGCGACATCCTGTACAATCGGGAACCAGGACAAGTAATATACAACTATACAATCACCTTCATCGACGCCGCCACCCGTTACGTCTGGCACCTAAACCTCCCTAGCCGCGACATGGCATTCGCAGCCTTCGTTGCCTGGCTACCAGTAGCAGAGAGAGAATCAGGCGTGAAGCTGAAAAGCTTCCAGTCAGACGGAGGAGGAGAATACACCTCTCAGCGATTCAAGCAGTACCTGGCGGAAAGGGGAATCAAGCGACTCATCTCCCTTCCCTACGCCCATCACCAGCAGGGTGTAGCAGAAAGAATGAACAGGACCTTGCAGAACAGCATGCGCAAACTGTTACGTGGCATGCGGCTACCCAACCACCAGTGGCCTGCAGCAATGGACCACGCCGTCATGCTGCACAACTTGCTGTCGTCATCATCGCTTCCGAACAACGCATCACCGCATCTGCTATGGACAGGGAAACAGGGCAGCACAAAAATGTTACGAGTATTCGGATGCATGGTACAGTACCGACCCCCAGCAGCACGAGCGGGCCGATTTTCTCAACGAGCACAGTGGGGACTACACCTGGGAATCGAAAAGAACTACAACACGTGGAAAATCTTCGACGTCCACTCCAAGGAAACAGTAGCAGCACGTGATGTAATTTTCTACGAACGACTCACGCTCCAGACATACCTTGCCAACCTGCACGAAGACCAGGATCCCACAGGTGGTTTTCGTGGTGACCGAGCCTTCGCCTCAGCAGCGGACGAAGCCGACTGGGACGAGCAGAATGTGGACAACGCATCAGAAGAAGCCGGACCTCTTCCGTTCTGCTCCGTCGAGGTTCCCATGGACGAAGACAACCCTCGCGAAAGTGCCAACGCCGAAACCTTCTACCATTTCGCCGACAACGGTTACGTAACACCTGCGACAGTCAACACCAACGAAGCCGAACGAGTAGGACCGAACTTCATACCTGATCCAGAAGCGGGAGATGAAGCAGCTTATCCCGAGGACGTAAATCTTCCCCGCTACTCACAGAGTGGACTGCAGATTCTCGGACTCGTCACCGCAGTCCACGGCACCGCCACTCCTAAAGAGCCTGCGACGGTTCAGCAGGCTCTGGGGGGGGAACATAAGGAAAAATGGCGCGAAGCCATGGACAAGGAACTGAAGGCACTGGAGGAACGCAACACGTCGAAAGTGGTTCCTATCGGCGTGGCACGGAACAAGACAGTGCTCACCGGGAAGTGGGTCTTCCGTGTGAAGACAAAGGCTGACGGCACCATCGACAAATTTAAGGCACGCTGGGTCGTACGCGGCTTCGACCAAGAGCACGGACGCGATTTCACCGAAACTTTCGCTCCGGTCAGCCGACACACCTCGCTACGCATCCTTCTCGCGATCGCCGCCATGAAGAAGAAGAAGCTGCGGCAAATCGACGTCGCTAACGCATTCCTCTACGCACCCGTTGACGCAGAGATCTTCGTCGAGCTACCACACGGCTCCAGCACGGACTCGAACCACGTCTGTCAACTACTCAAGTCGCTCTACGGCATCAAGCAAGCTCCGCGACTATGGCAACAATACCTACACGCTCGCCTCATTCGCATCGGCTTCAAGCAATTGCCGCACGACCAGGGCATGTACCGGCTCACGAAGGGTACCGACTACATCCTGCTAATCGTCTATGTAGACGATCTGCTCTACATCGGCTCAACTGACGGCATTACAACCTGGTTCGAAGGGGAGCTACAGCAAGACCTCACTCACGGTCTCATCTACCGTCACACAGTACCTCGGCCTCAACATCCGGGAAGAGGAAGACGCTATCTACCTCAGCGCCGCGAAATACGCCGACACCATCGCCAAGCGTTTCGCACTCACACCGACTGTCATCTCCACACCGTACCGCTACACGACAGCAAACAACAAGGAAGGCTCCGCTCTACTCAAGCCCGCCGGCATACGCGACTACCAGAGAAAGCTGGGCTGCCTTCTCTTCGCAGCTGTCACCTGCCGCCCAGATCTATCCTACTCTGCAAGCCAGCTCGCCACCCACCTCAAGAAGCCTGAAGCGGAACATCTGGCGGAGCTCGACCGCGCTCTTCACTACCTTGTCAGTACCCCGACGGTCGGCCTGACTTTCCATAAGAACGCAACTACAACGCCTAAGCTAATCGGTTACGTCGACGCAGATCACGCGGGCGACTCAGACAATAGGCGCTCCCGCACCGGCTACATCTACCGCCTCGAACCTATCGGACCTATCTCCTGGCAATCGAGCAAGCAGGAACTAATTGCTCTCTCGTCAGCTGAAGCAGAATATATTGCACTCTGCTCAGCCACCAAGGAAGGACTCTATCTTCGCGAGCTGCTGGAAGAAGCGAAGTTAGCCGAGTTACCCAACTTTACCCTGTTCTGCGACAACCAATCGGCAATTCGCATCGCCAACAAGAACGGCTTCGCGAACAGGACGAAACACATCGCCCTGCGATATTTCTTCGTGAAGGACGAGATCGAGAAGGGAAGGCTCGAGCTGTCATACTGCCCCATCCGAGATGGCAGCTGACTACCTGACCAAGAAGCTCGGAAAGCAGAAGTTCGAATACTGCATGCTGCTGACTGGACAGAGCCACGTCAGCGACACTCCAGAAGCGAAGGGGAGTGTTGGAAATAATCGGTCCTAAGCGCTTCTGTCGTGTCGAAACACTAAGGCACAAGCGAAGCAAAGCATATCGAGGCACCAGCGAGTCAACCCTCGGAGGTTGAAGTAACCGCTGGAGGTTACGCGAAAGTCAAAGGTCAGCGACCTTTGACCTGACAAGTACAGCGCGACAGCAAGGACACACAACTGACTCGCTACAGAGCAGTTGCCCGAGTCGTCACTGTATCGAACCGCAACAGCAACAAGTAAAACAGTTATAACCGTATCCTTTCATATTCCTTATACTCTTATATATTCTTGTATCTTTTTGTTTTAATCAACTTACTTTGCCCTCACATACTAGCGCAAGGTGGTTCACAACTCTTTAATTAACGCTTCCGCTACTACACCAACTCTACCCAGAGTTCACCCCTGCAAAGATCCTAAGGGCCTTTTCAGCCCAACAGAAGTAAGGAAAAGGAATTTTCCTTACACGTAGGAACACTCCCTAACTCTATATGGTGGTGGAACTTGGTCGGTGCCAATCCAAGCGTCAATGGGCGAGGAGAGTGGCTTTGCTGAAGAGAAGACGGTCCCCTCCCCACTCAAACCACGTGGGGGTTGCCCCGTGCCACACTTCCCCTTTGTGTCAAGTCAAGCTGCCTCTTCTCCAAGCAAGCACCCCTCAGGGGTTCGCCCCTTGCTTACTCATCCCTTAGGTTAGCAGTGAACTGTTGGCGCAACAAGAAGAAATATTAGAGGCTGATTGGCACGCCATGCCAGAGAAAGACAACATACAAAATGTCCTGTAGCTAAACACAAGCTTACCTGCCCCTGGTTCTTCTGGAAAGCTATCGCGCTCACTCCAGTTTCGAGTCCCGAGTCATCTGAGAACAAAAGCAAACAAAGTCAGCACCCATCATCCAAAGCATTCTCTACACACCGTCGTTGAAGGACAAACACACTTACAATATCCACCAATTTTCCCATTGAAAGCCATCCATTTGTTTCTCCCCTTGAATAGCTTCGCCATGTCTGCATTCGATGTGGAGCCGGACATCTCGCTCTTCACGTGAACAAACTCAAAGGACTGCGGGTTGTCCTTGGGCGTCCATACGACTCCTACGTTGGAAGTGAGATCGAAACAAACGATCCCGAGAAAATAGCAATTGTGATCACCTGCGAATGAAAGAGAAACACAGAGCAGCAACAGGGTTCAGCCTTTGCGTAGATGACTGCAGGACAAGATGCAGAGTGTTACTCGAGGCATTACTCACCAGGTCTAGGGTAGTGCTCATGGTTTCCTTCCGAGACATACACAATGGGATGTGTTCCCATCACCGTAGCAAACTTCCTCTTTGACTTTTTGTCGGCCCAGTCGGCCCCTTGGTCCCACGCCCACACGGGGCCATCGCCGTGCTGCGCGTACCAAATGCGCTGCGGCTGGCCGGTCTTCGAGAAGCGGATTGCAATCGCCACCAGGTCCGTGATGTGGTTGCCACCAAAGGCGCTGGCATAGTTCTGCAAACGACAAGGGTGGATTAGTTGAAACAGATTGAGAACATTTTACGAAAGGGGTGTGGGAGAGAGAGAGGGGAAGAGACAAAGGAAGTACTTGAAGCCAGGGTACCACTTGGAATACCCACGTAAGGGTAGAAGAGCCAATACTGAATCTCCACAAACGAGTCTTTGTCGTCCGGTTTCGGGTCGTAAATGATGGTGTACAGCTTCGTCCCTCCGTTTTTCGGGTTGCGCGCCGAGTCGCTCATCCAGTCGGTATCCTTGTCAAACTGATCCGGACTGTACAGGACAGTTTTGCCACGCTCGCTATTTGGATTCTTCAGGAGTGCATCGAGGTTGTCGGGAGTGATCGGGCCCGCCTGGTATTCAATTTCATACTCTCTACCATCCTCAGTAAAATAACCTTTGGAGGCAGTCACGTGTGTGAGGTACTCGTCGATCGTGATTGGCCAGATATCCTCGTCGGGGTGGAACTTGTACTGCGGCGAGTACTTGACGGCCACGTCCTCCCAGAACGGGTCGCACGCGGGGTTTGTTTTCGGATCAAACATGCAGGGGTCCACCTTTCCAGCAGGCATGGGCGGGTTGGCGTAGCGAACCAGCGCGGTGAATTGCGTCTGGAACCACTGCCCTGCGCGGGGCGCGTTCGATAGGGCGTCCAGGCCCAGCGCGTCATTGGGGTCGCACTCGCGATCCACGAGGAAAATGCCCAGAATCTTTGCTCTGGGGAGATGAGAGGTTGGAGGAAGGAAGAGAGATGAGTGAAGGTGTACCGGGAAGCACAGCCAACCGTTTCAACATCTGATAAATGACCCGTTGGCAAAGAGGAAAGGACAAACCCACACGGAAAACAGTAGCAATACCCCGCAGGCACATAGGAGGGATTAGGAACTTACGAATGGCCATCGCTCTCCCCAGGCGGCTTGATCCAAACCAGAGCATCAACTGCGGGGCAGGCAAGAAAAAGGTGTGCGGGAAAGTGGAGGGAACCGCATGAGACCACCCGAGGGCCCCTCGGGAAACGCCATTCCGAAACAGGATCGCCAAGAAAAGAGAAGAGAAGAGAAGAGAACAAAAGCAGCAGCAAGAAAAAGCAAGGGTGCTCACCTTGCGGAGCATTAGCGGGATTCGCCTCGGGGCGCTGTCCAATTCCCGCGCCCTTCACGTTGCACCACGACCCCCAGCGGTTGCGGATGCCAGCGCGGCCGGACCTACTCGTATCCACGATCCACCTGGTGGGCAGTCCCGCGGCTCCCAGGTACGCATTCATGCGCGCCGTGAACCGGTTCTCGTCGATGCACGGGTTCCAGTCGTAGCACATCTCGCCCGTGCTCGGGTTCTTGGCGAGCGGGCACTTCTCCAAGGCGGGGCAGCCGGTCGCGAAGAGCGGGCTGTAGTTGGCCACGTTGGACGCGAAGCCGCGGATCTTGGCGTTCGCGCGGATCTGCCGCGCGCGCGCGAGGAACTTCCTGTACACCGCCACCACGCGCTTCATCCCCTCCGGCCACCCTGCTCACGCGACGAGGGAAGGTGTTGTGGGGAGAAGTGTGAAGTGATGAGTCAGGTTGAAAGTGGAGGAAGAAACGGCCGTTCTGGAACAGAATAGATTACAGCATTGAAATGAATCACAGGCATACGCACTCACCGAGCCAGCCGCCGAAGCCGGAGTCGAGATAGAGCGTGGTGTCGGGGATCTGCGACAGCTTCGCGATGGCGTAGGCGACGCCCTCCGTGTACTCCTTGTCCGTCGTCGCGTCGCACCGATTCGTCCCCATGTTCGTCGCGATGTTGGGCAGCGAGTCGGGCTCGATCACGAGCGACAGACGCACGTTCGCCGCCTTGGTTTTGAGGCGCGCCACGGCAACATCGATGTACTTGGTCCTGCACGTGTCGAGGCCGCCCTTGGGAATCTCCCCGTTGGACGACCACGCCTTGCAGTCGCGGCCCGGGAGGTCGTAGATCACGAATTGCACGAGAATCGCCTTGCCGCCCGCCTGAGTCGCCGCGTCGCTCAGGTGGCCGGGGATGGAATCTAGGGCAGCCATCGTGTCGAGCCACACAGCCGTCGCATACTGCGCCACGCTCGCGAAAAACGGCGCATTCGAGGGAAGCGCGGCGCGCACCGCGGCATTCACGCTCGCCGCGTACCCCGGGTTGAGGTACTGCTGGACTGCCGTGTACGGGTTGCCGGTCGCGCTGTCGGTAACGCGATAGCCACACGACGTGCCAGTGGCGGGGACCAGCTCTGTCGCGTTGATGGCCCCCTTGAGCCAGCACGTGCCGCCGTTGAAGGCGCTCCACGTCCAATGCGTGCAATCCGCGCGGCTCAGGCACTGCTGTCCGCACGTCTCGCCCTTGCCGGCCGCTCGGCCTATGTCGTTGCCGACCCAGTCACAGTCGAGCGACCACTGCACTTTTCCGGCCTCGGAGATTGAGAAGTTGAATGCGGCTGACGCAGGTGTCGGACTGAGAGCCATCAGCACGACTAGTATCACCCATAATGCCAATGTAGTCGAAAGGAAATGCGCACCCGCCATCGTTCAGGCTGGTTGGTTGAAAGGAATGAATGAGTATGGCACCTCACGGCGAGACCGTCCCTTTTGAACACCGCCAGATCCAAGCCGCACTGCGGCTCGGATCGCATCGGAGGCAAGATCGGATTGAGTTGTGTCCGTCATTCTGCTGTGCGGTCCGAGGGGTGTGCTATGACAATTATTGGTGACACCACGTCTGTAGTTTTAGTACCAATAATCGCAGGAACTACTTTCCGCCGTGAATCTCGTTCCCCCGGCGACGCATGGACCGGAGACGGTTGGCGACGCGGGACTCACGGCGGGAACGCGGCTGGGGCCACGTCGAACTACTCGCATCATCCCAAAAATGCAATCGCTTGCAGGGTATGTTTGCTGGCGATACTTCCAAACATACCCCAGCCCTCGCGTGCGCTGGGTGGGACCGTTGCGTTGGGGTTACGTGGGGGTATGTTTTGGTTTGCGCGGCTCGAGTTCGAAGTTGCGCCAAACTAAATTCTGTGGCTCGGGCTTCCTACACCAATAGGAAAGTTGCTGCGTGGCTCTGGTGCTACCGAACCTGAATAACCTGAATATGTGCGTGGTGCTTGGTACAAATCAAAGTGCAAATATATTTCGCATATGTATATACCTAACTGAATTGATTTAAGCTTCATAGTGATTCAAACCGATCATGTCATATTTAATTGTTAAGCAACAAGTGTCCCATGTAATGCTGTGTTTATTTCATAAAATTTACGTGCCAATAGAAATAGATACCTATAGGTCGTGTTCATATTTAGATTTATTGTCATCATAGTAGGTCACAGATTTTAGAACGATATAGAGTAATTAGCATTCCGACTATGAATTGTACGCCTAGTCCATCTTTACAAATTATTAATGTTTATGCAACATAAGCCCTGTCATTTTTAGTTCCAATAGCAGCAGATTTCATGCATCTTTGGCTGTGAATGACTTTTTTGTATTGTTGTTCCATACTAATTAATGGTTATAAACTATATTACAATCATTGTTGAACAAGTTTGGAGCCATTCGCAGCATCGGGTGTGAATATATGCTCTTTCAAACAATTGCGCAGAGAAAATTGTGCAAGGATAGGCCAGTGCGACACGTGGTGCCAAATTAACATTCGTTTGTTATTTTGAACAACGTTTTTTGTGATCATTCAAGCATTCACTATATTTCTAGCATTCTCAAACAAGTTTGGTGTCATTCGCAGCATCTGGTAGGAAGATATGATGTTTCGAACATTTGAGCAGGGAAAACTGTGCAAGGATATGCCTGTGCGACACGTGGTGCCAAATTATCGTCGGTTTGTCATTCTGAACAAGGTTTCTTGTAACCATTCAAGCACTTACTATATTTATAGTATTTTCAAACAAATCTGGTGCCATTCGCAGCATCAAGTAGGAAGATATGACGTTTCGAACAATTGACGAGAGAAAACAGTGCAAGGATAGGCCTGTGCGACACGTCGTGGCACCCTAACATCCGTTTGTTATTTTGAACAACGTTTTTTGTGATCATTCAATCATTTACTATATTTCTAGCATTCTCGAACAAGTTTGGTGTCATTCGCAGCATCAGGTAGGAAGATATGACGTTTCGAACAACTGAGCAGGGAAAATTGTGCAAGGATAGGCCTGTGCGACACGTGGTGACAAATCATCGTCCGTTTGTTATCTTGAATAAGGTTTCTTGTGACCATTCAAGCATTTCCTATATTTATAGCTTGTAGAACAAGTTTGGTGCCATTCGCAGCATCGGGTAGGAAGATATGACGTTTCGAACAACTGAGCAAGGAAAACTGTGCAAGGATAGGCCTATGCGACACGTCGTGGCACCCTAACATCCGTTTGTTATTTTGAACAACGTTTTTTGTGATCATTCAATCATTTACTATATTTCTAGCATTCTCGAACAAGTTTGGTGTCATTCGCAGCATCAGGTAGGAAGATATGACGTTTCGAACAACTGAGCAGGGAAAATTGTGCAAGGATAGGCCTGTGCGACACATGGTGCCAAATTAACATCCGTTTGTTATTTTGAACAAGGTTTCTTGTGACCATTCAAGCATTTCCTATATTTATAGCTTGTCGAACAAGTTTGGTGCCATTCGCAGCATGAGGTAGGAAGATATGACGTTTCGCCCAACTGAGCAGGGAAATCTGTGCAAGGATAGGCCTGTGCGACACGTGGTGCCAAATTATCGTCCGTTTGTTATTTTGAACAAGGTTTCTTGTGACCATTCATGCATTTCCTATATTTATAGCTTGTCGAACAAGTTTGGTGACATTCGCAGCATCGGGTAGGAAGATATGACGTTTCGCCCAACTGAGCAGGGAAAACTGTGCAAGGATAGGCCTGTGCGACACGTGGTGCCAAATTATCGTCCGTTTGTTATTTTGAACAAGATTTCTTGTGACCCTTCATGCATTTCCTATATTTATAGCTTGTCGAACAAGTTTGGTGCCATTCGCAACATCGGGTAGGAAGATATGTCGTTTCGCCCAACTGAGCAGGGAAAACTGTGCAAGGATAGGCCTGTGCGACACGTGGTGCCAAATTATCCTCCGTTTTGTCAGAATATTATGCTCTAGCCTGTAGTGGGGTGCTCTATAGCGAGTACAACCCTTCTAGGGTTTGCTATTTGTATCCTCATTCTTGCTAGTGCAACCCTCCTCCTTCTTCCTTTTAAATTTTCACATGCTATCAGAGCAGGTCGATCCCCTTGGATCGATCCTGTGGGTGGGCTCACCACCTCGTTGCTTCCGCTGCAACTTCCACTACTACCTTCTGTGCCGCACGCCCCATGGCGTGCGGCAGTTTTTCTTCCCGCCGTGCGCCCCGAGGCGCGCGGCACGGCGGTTCTCTGCCCGCTGTGCGCCCCGAGGCGCGCGGCGGGCTTCTACCCCGTCACTCGCCGCGTCGCCCTCGGGAGGCGCTGCGACGGGCGACGGGGACCCGCGCGTCGCCCCCCGTCGCCCGTCGTGGCCTGCGCGCGGCCCGTACAGCCGGCGCGCGGCCCGTACGGGCTGCGCCAGGCCTGCGCGCGGCCCGTACGGGCTGCGCCAGACCCGCGCGCGGCCCGTACGGGCTGCGCCAGACCCGCGCGCGGCCCGTACGGGCTGCGCCAGGCCCGCGCGCGGCCCGTACGGGCTGCGCCAGGCCCGCGCGCGGCTCGGGCCGCCTGCGCGCGGTTCGGGAGGCTGTGCCAGGCCCGTGGGCGGCCCTTTCCTCGCTGCCCCTGCCCTCCCCGCTGTCCCCCGTGCTTCTGCTGGCGCCCCACCCCTCCTACAGCCCGTTCTCCTGAATTAGGGTTTGGGGGTGAGGGGTATGGGGGTGAAACTACTGTGTGCCGTTCCCTGCTCCTCCTCCTCCTCCGTCTCCCTGTGCTGCAGCTGCCGCTGAGGGGGGGTGGACTTGTTGGAGCCGTTGGAGTGGTGCTAAGGGGGGGTGAAGGGGGAGTGGAGCTAGCGGTGTAGCAGCGGGTGTGTGTCAGGAGGGGTGGTACTGTTTGGGGGAGGTCGAGTGGAGGCAGCAGTCTTGTCGTCAGCAGCAGCAGCAGTCCGGAGGCTACAATCTCCGGTAGTCGCCAGTCGCCCGTGGGTCCGTTGCTCGTCTGCCGCTACTTTTAGCCGCGGGGCCAGTTACCCCAGTAGTCCGGAGCGTTGTTCCGGTAGCCACTGAGCCAGCAGCTCGTCTGTGTGTCTGCAGCGTCAGCAGTCGCCTCCCATCTTCTCTCCCCCACAGTCTCTCCTCCTCCTCACTTGCCCTCTGCGATAGCCTCTAGCTTTGCTCATAATTGTGAACTTTAAACTATTGCTTCTTGAACTTGTGCTCAGAATGTGTGGTGACATTGTGATCCACCCTGAGCTTGTACTGCTGTGCTTGCTCTGCTGATTACACCCCACTTTGGCTATGGGGGTGTGTCAGAATATTATGCTCTAGCCTGTAGTGGGGTGCTCTATAGCGAGTACAACCCTTCTAGGGTTTGCTATTTGTATCCTCATTCTTGCTAGTGCAACCCTCCTCCTTCATTCCTGTTTTCTTGATTCACACGTTTGTCGTTTCAAATTATGTTTCTTTTTATCATTCAAGCCTTTACTATATTGTGAGCGTGCTGGAAAAGATTTGGTGTCATTCGCAGCATCTGGTAGGAAGATGTGCTGTTTCAAACAACTAAGCTGGGAAAATTGTGCAAGGATAGGCCTGCGCGTAACATGTCACTGTTTCAATATCTGGGTGTTTTGTTTACCTCTATTTCTTCGCACATTCCCTATTACATCCTATTCCCTAGCCATAGGATCTGGTTTGAGCTCGTTCGCACAACTACGCAGCACGTGGCGCATGTTTGCGCGTTCCATGGTGAATCTGTGCAAGGATAGGCATGTACGCAACATGTCACCTCGCCAACGTTTGGATGCCTTTTTTACCTCTATTTTTTCACACAATTTCCTAGTACATCGTATTCTCTAGCCATAGGATCTGGATTGAGCTCGTTCGCACAACTACGCAGCACGTGGCGCTTGTTTGTGCGTTCCATGGTGAATCTGTGCAAGGATAGGCATGTACGCAACACGTCACATCGCCAACGTTTGGATGCCTTTTGTACCTCTATTTCTTCACACAGTTCCCTAGTACCTCCTATTCCAGTGCCATGGAAACTGGTTTGAACTCGTTAGCACAACTACGCAGCTCCTGACGCTTGTTCGTGCGTTTGCTGGCCTAAATCTGTGCAATGATAGGGCCGTGCGTGACATGTCAGCTCGCCAACGTTTGGTTGTTGTCGTTGTGTTTGTTGTCGTTGCCGTCGTTGTTGTTGTTGTTGTCGTTGTCGTCGTCGTCGCCGCCGCAGCAGCAGCAGCAGCAGCAGCAGCAGAAGCAGGAGTAGTAGTAGTAGTAGTAGTAGTAGTAGTAGTAGTAGTAGTAGTAGTAGTAGT